GGTGGGAAGGCAGTGGGAGCCGGCAGTGGGGACACTCCTGGGGCAGGAGGGACAGTAGAGAAGGGGAATCTAGGAGAGAAGAGAGGCTCTTCCTGCAGCAAAGCAGGGGGAGGAGCCATGGGAGGGAAGGCGGGTGGGGGACAGGGCTCTAGACCAGGCCCCTTGGGAAGGGCAGGGTATTGGAAGAGGGGTGGGGGTGCTGGCGGGGGTGGGAGCTTGGGCTTGGGGTCTTCAGGAAGGAGGAAATCAGAGTTCAGGAAGGCACTGGAGTCCAGGGTGCCAGGGCAGCTGCTCCGAGCCTGGTTGGGGGACAGAGAGAGAGCAGGGGAGAAAGCTGGCCTTTGCAGCCACCCAGGCAGGCCCTTGCCCTGGCTGAGGTCTGGACTGGGCACTGGGAGAGAGAGGAGAAATGATCGCTGTTGTCCCCCCCACCTACACACACCAAAGGAAATTGTAACCTAATGAGGGGAGGGAGTGGAACACACTTAGGCACACATTAGGTGTAAGAAAGAGCATCGATCTTCCTGCCCATCTTTTCATTCAGCAAATAATGATTCCATCCTACCACCAATCCATTCGTGCTCCATTCCCCTATTTGGCCTCTCACCTGTGAGCTAACTCATCTATCTCTCCACCAACCTGGGAGGTATAAACCCATTCACCAATCCATCCAACCCATTCATCCACCAACCCATCCAGACATAATCCATCCACCTATCCACCATCTGTTCATTGACCAGCCACTTATCCAGCCACCACCCTATTCATCCACAAGTCCATCCACCAGCACATGCATCCAACCGACCACTCGCTTACCCATGTAAGCATCCACCCCCATCTACAACCCGTGTATCCATTCACCAACACACCCATCCATCCACACATTCACTCATTCACTTAGTGGCTCAACCATTGGGCAACCATTGACCCTATGCTTCTTGAACTGTGGTAGGTATGGAAGATGCAGCGGTGAGCAAGGCCTAGCTCTTCCAGTAAGGAGCTCATGGTCTGGTTGAGGAGAGAGACCTCTCAGCAATGAACTACAATAGTGCCGGAACAGTCTGATGACAGAGGGACCTGGCAGCAGAGCGGCAACCACCGAATTGAGCCTGTGAGTTCCGTATCCAAAATGGCGGGTTCACTGTTTCCTAAATGCTCACACTGACCTTTCTGTCTCCGCGTGCTCTCCTCCCATCTGGCTTGCCCTTTACTGGCCTCTTCTGGCCAAACCCAACACATTCACTAAGCCCAGAACCTCGCCTCCTCCAGGAAGCCTTCCCCAAGCACCCCAGTCCTTCGTGGTACCCTGCTCCATGCTCCCCTGCCCTCAGCCTCCCTCCCAGAACCACCTGGTCCATCTCTGCTTCACAACGGTTTCCTCCTCAGCTGAACTGCGCCCGCTCAGAGGGCAGAGATGGGGTCTGTCTCCCCCCTCCAGTCCCTCTCAGTTGACCAAGCGCAGGAATGGGCACCCAGGAAGTGCCCTGAATATCTCCTGGACATGGGCAGGTGAGCGAGGCACGGCTGAATGGCGTGGGGTGGGAGCTCACCTGCAGGCGGTTATTCCCTGAGAGGTGGGTCATGCCTGACGAGGCAGGGGGCACCTCTGAGCCCGGGATCGAACTGCCGAAGAAAGGGTCAGCCATGGTGCCAAAACTGGGGGGCTCCGGGAAATGTGAGGGCGTGGGTGTCTGTGGGGGGCGGTAGCTGGTGAAGAAATCTGTAATTCAACATACAGGGTGGTGGCAGTTAAGGATAGGGCCAGGCGTGGCTGGAGGCAGTGGGAGGAGAGTGGGCCTCGTGCCCTGTCCCCAAGCTGGGCTGGCCTGGCTGGCGGT